TGAGTGGCTTGGGAAGAGATTCCTAGCAACTTAAATGATTAATGGCCTATTTAAGTGAGAAAGAATGGGGGGAAAGAAAATGGTCTTCACTTATCTGCACAGACTTGTTATAGGAAGATGAGTCTGCTACCCACTTTCTTGGCTGCCATTTTAGATTGAATTTGAAAGGCAAGACATTCTGTTCCCTGGAAAAGAGGAAGAGTGCCTTGTGTTTCCCTCCCAACTGCTTCCCACATAACTGAATGCTAGTCTCATTATATAGTATTGTCCTTTGAGACAGGACTGAGTAATGAATGATAATTTCATGGATGTCAGATGTTGTGTTATACTAGCCAACAACTTGCAGGTACATACATGCATATGTGTATGCGTGCGTGTGTGTGAACTTATGGTGACCCCATGAATTTCATAGGGTTTTCTTAGGCAAGGAATACTCAGAGGGGGTTTAGCCAGTTCTTCCCTTTGAACTATAGCCTACAGCACCTGGTATTTGTTGGCAGTCTCCCATCCAAGTACTAATCAGAGGTGACTTTGCTTAGCTTCCAAGATCAAATGGGATCTAATGCCTTTATAGGGTATTTAGGCTGGCTGCATCTATCTATCTATCTATCTATCTATCTATCTATCTATCTATCTATCTATCTATCTATCTGAGATTAAAAAGCAAATCAACAGTACTTTGTTCTCTCTTCCCCAAGACACACATACACACAGCTTTCTAATATCAAGCACCAAGGAACCAAATGGTTGGGGACAGAATCTGAATCCACTCTTTTTGGTCTATTTACAGTTCTTTCCTAATTTAGTATCATCCCATTTTTGTTCCTAATAAGCATGGTATGATATACTTGAGAGTGATTTGGATACCCTGATGTTGATGAAGTGCAACTCCCATCATGCCTCAGCACTGACTTTGCTGATTAAGGCTGATGGGAGCTTGGACACAATCTCAGTGAACTAAATGGGACTGCGGAATTTCTCACAAAAACCTCATAAAATGCCACAATCACTTTAGTCTAGGAAATACAAACATATCGGATTGAGGACAGTCTATTGCAAAAGTCTTCCATGTTCCCATTGTTAGGAATGTTGGGATATGTAGTCAAAAGTGGAAATGTACAGAAGTGGGAAAATTCCACCTGAAAAGAGTTTAAACCTGCAGGTAGCAAATGTGTAAGCAACACAGCAAGGTCACAGTGTTCTGTGAACAGACAAATAGCACATAAACAATGAGATCATCTTTGTTGTCTGGGAACCAGGATCACATGACACATGACTCACAGCAAAAGGCTGGGTTAGAGGCTATTCAGCAAATTGTCTATGGAGGTATCCACCCATGGGAGGAGTTTGGGGTTTGGCTTAGAGTTTCTTTTGTTCTTCCAAACTTGCACTGTGTTGTGTGTGTTGGATCTATCATTCTTATATTTCTACCTGCATGAAAATGGATGTATATAGTTTTCTCTTTACTATGTCATCATAAATAAAAACCTTCTTATGAAGAACTCTCTGCTCTGGTCTGGATTAATGGCAAACTGCTTGAAACTATAAGGAGCAGCATACCAGAGTGATGAGGTCAGCTCAGCTCAGTTCCAGAGACGGAGGTGGCTGATGGATGGATGCCTAGCATTTCGGCAGGAGATCTCTGCTAATACAACACCACCATAAATAAATCAACAGCCATGGTGTTGCTTCTGTCTCAGCATTTGTCTTCTGAATACTGGTCTCCATAACTCTGCCTGCCTGCCCTATCCCCTTCCCAGCAGGCCTTTTGGTTTGCATTTATTTTTATTTTTTAACACAAATGCAAGCTCATGGCAATCCAATTAATTAAGTAAAGAAAAGAAATTGGGAAAAAAAAAACCATCCAACTTGGGAATAGTGAGGGGGAAGGGAAGAGGGGGAGATGAGCAGAATCATGCCCACTCACATCATATGACTGTCTGCATATTGGAACTGCTTCAGGAGGAACTTATCACACATGTGTCAACAATGCAAAAGCAGCATGACTAGGAGGCATTGACAGATTTTGTCCATCACTGAGAAAGACAACTCCAGAAGGTCTTCCTATAGAAGTTCCACTGGATGGACTACAGACCAATTACTGAACAGACACAGTATCGTGTGATATGATACAACTACAGGTGCTACTATCCTGCTTTAATTCCACTTTTCAAGCCTCCTGTGATGAAGTCCTTATTTCTAAGTAAACATGTAAAAGATTCCACTATTAGGTGAATCATTATCATTCACATATACTATATTTCTTTTCTATTCTTTGAAGTTTCTTAAAGCAGCTTTTTTTTTTTAAAGGCAACATGACATGAACACAATGGTTAATTTTATTCATCTCCCACAAAAAAAATAAAGCCAACAACAATTATTTTAGGTGTACACGAGCAGCTGAGACAAAAGCTGCCATACCATGAAGGAAGGTGAATGAAGCAAAATTTGAATATAGTTTAGGTGTGACCTGTGGAAGATAATACACTGTGAAGGTTTTCCTATGGAAGTTCCACTGAAAATGAGAGGGGGTTATTCAAGGGCATTGTTTTGGTGGATTATGCCTCATATGCATTAATAGGAAGGTTCCATTTGGATTCTCCAGAAGTTCCAAAATGTTTTAGCCACACTAGAGCTCATCATAGAACTAGTAGCTTTCTCCTTCCTACTGTACTGTGGGGGTGTAAATCCTTAGTCCTCAAGTCCAATAGTTATTACACTCCAAAATGTTGTTGGATTTAGATCCCAGAGGTCCCAACCAGCATGAGTCTGGGATTTGTTGTCTTACAACAACATCTGAGTACCATGGTTTAGGAACCATTGGTACAGCCAAGGGCTTTTGAACCATTCATCTCTCAGATAGTTTGGACTATAAACCCCACATTCCCTTACCAGGAGCCACTTTGATTCTGAGAGGTGAAGTCCAATATATTGCCCCCCCCCCAAGCTCTTATTCTTGAGAAATGCTCAGTAGCCATAACAGTTGCAAAATTTCTAATTTAATTTTCATCAGAAGATGAATGGGAGGGAAGGTGTTGCCCAAAGGAAGATGATTGGTCATCTGGCCTCTTCTCAATATACCATAAAACTAGCACTGACTTAAATATACTTTGTGTAGCCTTCAGACATTTAGTTGGCCTATATTAGTTTGTTGCTATATTATTTTCACTTCAACTGACAACAGAGAGTTCTTCCAGGCAAGGTGGAGGGATATCTCAGTCCAATGATGACAGATATTTGTATTGTTTAGCTTGGTTTTGCTTTGCAATTTACTTGGATGATCCCCTGCAGACAGAACCAAGATCCCAGAGCAAAACAGGCCAGGATGGTTTCGATTACAGCTGTCGGAAACAGTTACTTGGAGGCAGGCTTGGACAGCCAAACAGATCTGGAGGGAACAAAGGAGGAGGCTCTTTATTCCAAAATCTCTCTCACCTATTTGAGATCTGGGAGTTATTTGATAGAGAATGAGCAATATTCTGCTGTTAGAGGCACAGCCTTGGGATTCTATGAATTTGTGAATTTAAGTGCACACAGAAAGAAGAAGTCTAGCCACAGGCTATTTCTGTGCACACAGAAAGAAGAAAATCTCTAAAGGGGGTGGGGGTAGACTAATTTGAGCAAACAGGCAAGCAGAATTTGAAAACAGAATGACTTGAGATTTTAAGTGTCCTCACAAACAGGGGCTGATAGAGCCTAGTCCAAACTTTAAAGGAGGATTCCAGAACAGATACACTTCCCCAAAGGTATGGAAGCCACTGGGCACTGCGGGGGGACACTGACATGAAAATTTAGCCCTTTCTCCCTGTGCAACAAAGGTGGACAATCTGTGGCCTTCGGTTGATAATGAAATGCAGCTTTAATGAGCACCAGTCAGCATGGTTAATGGTGAAGGATAATGGGAATTGCAGTCCAGCAATATCTGGTGGGCTGCACATATTCCACCTATGTTCTAGATAGATTCCCAACTGTTTTCTTACCAATAGGTCCCACTGAGGTTATAGAATAGTTGACCCAATCTGCCTATTAAAGAAATGAAGGCTGTAAATAAACATATCAGAAACATTATGATATGTGAGAATGCACTTTCTCTTTTATTTGGATTTTTTAAAATCTAAAGGTTGATTACATAAAATTTTTGTTGTGACACTGTTCCCTTCACTGTCATGAGGGTTTTTGTTTTGTTTTATTTTTATTTTTTACAGATCCCAGCTGTTCCAGACATTGCTGACTGACTTTCTCCTGGCCAAAGAATGGAGAGGG